AGTGTTTCCTTAATTTCTCTTTTTGATTTTTCAGTGTTGGTTATAGGAATGACAGAGATTTCTGCGCATTAATTTTGTATCCTGAAACCTTACCAAATTAATTGATTAGTTCTAGCAGTTTTCTGGTGGCATCTTTAGGACATTCTATGTATAGTACCATGTCATCGGCAAATAGTGACAGTTTTACTTCTTCTTTTCCAATTTGTATTCCTTTTATTTCTTTTTCTTCTCTGACTGCCATGGCTAGGACTTCCAAAACTATGTAGAATAAGAGTGGTGAGTGTGAACATCCCTGTCTCGTTCCTGATCTTAGTGGAAATGCTTTCAGTTTTTCACCATTGAGTATGATGCTTGCTGTGGGTTTGTCATATATGGCCTTTATTATGTTGAGGTAGGTTCCCTCTATGCCCATTTTCTGGAGAGTTTTTATCATAAATGGGTGTTGAATTTTGTCAAAAGCTTTTTCTGCATCTATTGAGATGATCATATGGTTTTTATTCTTTAATTTGTTAATATGGTGTATCACATTGATTGATTTGCATATATTGAAGAATCCTTGCATCCCTGGGATAAATCCCACTTGATCATGGTGTATGATCCTTTTAATGTGTTGTTGGATTCTGTTTGCTAGTATTCTGTTGAGGATTTTTGCATCAATGTTCATCAGTGATACTGGTCTATAATTTTCTTTTTTTGTGGTATCTTCTTCTGGTTTTGGTATCAGGCTGATGGTGGCTTTGTAGAATGAATTTGGGAGTGTTTCTCCCTCTGCAATTTTTTGGAAGAGTTTGAGAAGGATCGGTGTTAGCTCTTCTCTAAATGTTTGATAGAATTCGCCTGTGAAGCCATCTGGTCCTGGACTTTTGTTTCTTGGAAGATTTTTAATTATGGTTTCAATTTCATTACTTGTGATAGGTCTGTTTATATTTTCTAATTCTTCCTGGTTCAGTCCTGGAAAATTGTACCTTTCTGAGAATTTGTCCATTTCTTGATGGTTGTCCATTTTATTGGCATATAGTTGTTTGTAGTAGTCTTATAATCCTTTGTATTTCTGCAGTTTCAGTTGTGATTTCTCCTTTTTCATTTCTAATTTTATTGATTTGCATCCTCTCCCTTGTTTTCTTGATGAGTCTGGCTAAAGGTTTATCAATTTTGTTTATCTTCTCAAAGAACCAGCTTTTAGTTTTATTGATTTTTGCTATTGTTTTCTTCATTTCTATTTCATTTATTTCTGCTCTGATCTTTATTTCTTTCCTTCTACTGACTTTGGGTTTTCTTTGTTCTTCTTTCTCTAGTTGTTTTAAGTGTAGGGTTAGATTGTTTGAGATGTTTCTTGTTTCTTGAGGTGACACTGAATTTCTATAAACTTCTCTCTTAGAAAGGCTTTTGCTGCATCCCATAGGTGTTGGGTCGTCATGTTTTCATTGTCATTTGCTTCTATGTATTTTTTTATTTCTTCTTTGATTTCTTCAGCGGTCTCTTTGTTATTTAGTAGCACACTGTTTAGCCTCCATGTATTTGTGTTTTTTACAGTTTTTTTCCTGTAAGCAATTTCCAATCTTATAGCGTTGTGGTCAGAAAAGATGCTTGATACGATTTCAATTTTCTTAAAGTTTCTGAGGCTTGATTTGTGACCCAAGATGTGATCTATCCTGGAGAATGTTTCGTGTGCACTTGAGAAGAAAGTGTATTCTGCCACTTTTGGGTGGAATGTTCTATAAATATCAATTAGATCTATTTGGTCTATTGTGTCATTTAAAGCTTGTGTTTCCTTATTTATTTTCTGTTTGGATGATCTGTCCATTGGTGAAAGTGGGGTGTTAAAGTTCCCTATTACTATTATGTTACTGTCGATTTCTCCTTTATGGTTGTTAGCATTTGCCTTATGCATTGAGGTGCTCCTATGTTGGGAGCATAAACATTTATAATTGTTATATCTTCCTCTTGGATTAATCCTTTGATCATTATGTAGTGTCCCTCCTTATCCCTTGTAACAGTCTTTATTTTAAAATCTCTTTTATCTGATATGAGTATTGCTACTCCAGCTTTCTTATGATTTCCATTTGCATGGAATATCTTTTTCCATCCCTTCACTTTCAGTCTGTATGTGTCCCTAGGTCTGAAGTGGGTCTCTTGTAGACAGCATATATATGGGTCTTGCTTTTGCATCCATTCAGCCAGTCTGTGTCTTTTGGTTGGGGCATTTAATCCATTTATATTCAAGGTTATTATTGATATGTATGTTCCTATTACCATTTTCTTAATTGTTTTGGATGTTTTTGTGGGTCTTTTTCTTCTCATGTGTTTCCCTCCTGGAGAAGTTTCTTTAGCATTTGTTGTAAAGCTGGTTTGGTGGTGCTGAATTCTCTTAACTTTTGCTTGTCTGAAAAGCTTTTGACTTCTCCTTCGAATCTGAATGAGATCCTTACTGGGTAGAGTAATCTTGGTTGTAGGTTTTTCTCTTTCATCACTTTAAGTATAGCCTGCCAGTCCCTTCTGGCCTGCAGAATTTCTGCTGAATAACCAGCTGATAACCTTAAGGGGATTCCTTTGCATGTTATTTTTTGTTTTTCCCTTGCTGCTTTTAATATTTTTTCTTAGGAGTTAATTTTTGTTAGTTTGATTAATATGTGTCTTGGTGTGATTTTGCTAGGGTTTATCCTGTATGGGACTCTCTGTGCTTCCTGGACTTGGATGACTATTTCCTTTCCCATGTTAGGGAAATTTTTGACTATAACCTCTTCAAATATTTTCTCAGACCCTTTCTTTTTCTCTTCTGGGAAGAGCTGGGTCTTGGTGCTGAGGTGAGGACCTCCATGAGACCTCACTCCGATGAATATTCCCTGGGATCTGAGGTTTTCTGCTAGGCCAGTGGTTTGGACTCAGAGCTCCACTGCAGGAGCTTCGGCCCCATCCCCGACTCGGGAACCAAGATCCCGCAAGCCACATGGGGTGGCAGAAGAAAAAAGAGAACAATAATAAAGTAAAAAATAAAATCAGACTAGGAAACTAACAGATATGCTAGAAAGAATATAAAAATAAAAATATAGATGAATCAACAACTGGAAGGTACATCAGTACTACAATAGTAAAACAGAGGAGAGAAAAGAAAGAAAACAAAGGGGGAAAGCCCTTGGCTGTGGAGGGCGGGGACTAAGTAGCGTGAGGTTTGGGCGGTGGGCAGGGCCAATGCTCAGGACCCACAGGGCTGGAAAAGGCCCTGGGGGCCATGGGGGTGGGGTTTAGGCTCAAGGAACAGAAGGGGCCCAGGCGTGCCCCCCACCCCTGGTCTCAGAGGGCGGGGGACCTCACCTGGGAGCCCAGCAGGCTTCCTGGGCTCAAGTGGGCGGGGCTAACCCATGCGCTCCTCTCCCTCTCCTCCCGGAGCGCCCCTCCCTCCTGCCTCTTCTGATCTCCCTGGCCTCCCTCCTATGCCCCCAGGACCCACACGGCCGGCCTGGAGGGGGCTTTGGAGGGGGGGGATACTGGCCTGGGAGCTCAGCAGACTCCCCGGCCCGAGTGGGCTAAGCAATCGCCCTCCGCTCCTCCCAGAGGGTCCCTCCCACCTGCCTTTCCTGATCTCCCCGGCCTCAGGGGCCCCGATCCTGTATGGCCTCCACTTCTCCACCCCCCTCAACCCCCCACGTCCTACCAGTTCATTTGGGGGTTCCTCCCATCTCCTTGGGCGTCAGGGTCCCCCATCTTCATTTATTTTTAAGGCGTGTATTTTAATGTATGTGAAGTATATGATACACATAAAAAGGATTTATAAGATATATGCACAGTTTAAAGCTTAATAAAACGAACAACATGGACCCACTACCCCGCTCAAGAAATATATGTCAGATTATTAGTGATAAGAAGAGTTAACATTTTCTGAGCACTTATCACGTGCCAGGCACTGTTCTAAGCACCTCACATATTATGGGATGGATCCTCACAACAGCCTTATCAGTCAGGTGGAGGGAGCGAGAGGGAGGATGGGCAGGAGGCTGTGTACAGAGGAAACGCTCGTTTCAGACTCTGCAGCCGACAGACAGAGGGATTTGGAGAAGAGTGGGCACTTTGGTGACTCTTTCTCCCTTTCCTTTCACTGTCCCTCCATTGACGTCCCAGTTGTTTAGTGACTATGTCCTGTTTCCCATAAAAAGATAAGACCAACGTTTACTAGTTTGAAAAGCCTATGAAAATTATCCCCGGAGCTTTCTGACTACTTCACCCTTCTGCCCACAGAAATGCTCCACAACACCCTCCTCTTTGCAAATGATGAGAATATCGTGCTCTCCTTCCAGCAGACATAAGAACAAGGGGATTTCCATAGCCACAAGGTGAATGGAAGGGAAACGAACTTTTGGCAACGTGGCCCATTCACCTCCGTATACTGGCTCACATATCGCAGCACACAACAATTCAATAAAACCTACATGCCCACATTTCTTCTTTAACGTGTTCCCTTCCAATAATTGAGCACAAAGATTTATTTCAGGGAACTTGGTCCTCTCCGTTCCCCTCCTTGCAGAAATTACCTTCATGGAAAAAGTCAACTTCAGTTCCTGGAAGAGTCAACAGCATCCTCAGAATTAATGTCCAGGCCACACTGCAGCGTGGCAATGGGTTGTGAGAGAAGAGACTCCCCGCCAGGGTCACTGGGGCAGCCCGAGGCAGGGGACCGGGGAGAGAGCTTGCCACTGAGCCCCCGTCCAATCTTCACAACAATGATTGGGAGGGAGAGTTGCAACATCTTGAGAACTCAGGGTCCAGCGGGAAGCCTTTGCACAGGAAAGTGATGTCCTCCCTGTTACCAGGAGGTGGGACCCAGACTGGGTCTCGGTCACGAGCTGCACCCTTCTGGACATGCAGAAGCCACCGACTGTCCCCAGGGAGGAGAAGCCCAGCACAAGAGGGAAGCTCTCCTCTGAAACAGGGTGCTGGAGAACAGGAATGGCCGGCCAGACAACCGGGGGGGGGGGGGGGGGGGGGCCTGGAAAAGGGGGTGGCATGGCTGTGAGGCTTCCCGCCAGCATCCAGGGGGTCGCGGAGAACTGTGTGTCTAGGCAGCTGGGTCATCTTTAGGAGAACTCAACTCACCTGCACATCCGATGGGGAAGGAGAGAGCAGCTACCTGGGCCACTGAGGGTGGCCACACACTTTCTGTGGGTTCCTGAGAAGATGAGCTTATGGACTGGTTTCACTTTCAAGGAAACTTCCTTGGGACACATTTTGACAAATGAGGATCAGTGACTTTATAAAACATCAAAGGAAATCTTTAGGTTTCTTGATGGCGCTCAAGCCGAGGGAAGAGCAAGTGGTGGCAGTTCACGCCTCAGGCACCTCTGGCCCAGAGGTTACAGCAATGGTCTCCCAGTAAGCCAGCCCAGGGCCCTATCACAGAGCCAAGAGCAGTTCATTCCTACCAGAAAACTCCTGGGAAACCAGATCCAGGCTGTGGTTGTCAAACAGCAGCAAATTTAAAGGATGTGAAGCAGAAACACAGGGCAGGAGAAGATGTAATGATGAAAAAACAAAAAAGAAAACTCATCACCCACACGCCTGGCTAGGCAACAAGACACGTACAGACTCATATGCATCGTGGTTATTTTGCATCAAATTACAAACCTTACCCCTAAGAGGCAAGAACGACGTTAGAGCCAGAACGGTCATGGGAGTTTGTAATACTACAAAAAACTTTCAAGAAATAAAAATTGTTTATATTGAGGTATTTATTTTCCTCTTAGTAGGATGGCATGGCGTGCCATGGCCATGACCTCTTATTGCCAAATGTCCAAAATCAGAGTATTGGTGGAAATTAAGCCAAAGATCTTTTTCAATGACCCAGCATTAGAATGATAGACAAAGAAAGGGCAGGAAGGTCTGAGGCTGAGGTTTTGGGCGTCTACAGCAAGCAAGCTCTGGCGGGCAGGGCTGAGCCTGGAGCCTGCACTGCCCTGTGGGCTGTGTCTCCGCTTCCTTCCTGCTTCTCTGCTCACTCGCTCTCCGCCCCTTCTCTTCCACTTCCACTTTCTTTCCTCCCACTCACTCTCCACTCCACCAGCTATATTTGTCTTTCCTGCCACACCCGTTCTTAGAATAACCTTCCATTTCCGGCACCCAAATCCCTCTTCCTTCCACCCTTCGGAACTCTTGGAGAGCTCATGGCAAACGTTCCAGCTTGGACAGCTGGTTTCAAACTCCAAATCATCCCATATTTGTGCACTGACAGAGGTGGGCGATGCACAGGTATGAATGAGACGGGGACCTCCTGGCCTTGGAGAATGTCCAGTCCAGAGAAGGAAGCAGACAGAGGTCCACATAACTGAGATCCAGGCTGAGCCGGCTCAGGTACTAGAAAGGTACTATAAAAATACTAGAAAGGTAGAGTTAAAAATACCAGTGAGCAGGCACAATGGGAAGCCAAGATGAACTCCGCAGACGGGAAGAGTGTCCCCGGAGGAGGTGGAAACACAGCAGAAGGCAGGGGCCTGCATCTCTTATCTCCGAGGTCTCTCTGTGAGGATGCTAAATATTAGATTGGTCAAACGTTTTGTATGGGTTTTTCCATAAGATCTTACTGAAATAGAAAAGATGTGCGTATCTTCAAAGAGTGCTGACGGAGACTTTCAGCACCTGCGTGCACAGCTGCGGGGGTCCCCAGCTCTGCACACAACCCCAGCTCACAGCCAGCTTTACATCCTCCAGGACCCCAGCTACAGTTCTGAGGGGCGTTGCCAGGAGGGGGGCAGAGATCTCAAAGATCTCCCTTTCCTGACCTGGAATCAAGACTCAAACCTCACCCAGGAGCCTCCTGTGCTTTACGGCTGCCCCACGCCTGTCCGTGTAGGGCTTCCAAGCAGCCTGTCTGCCAGTACTGCCTCACCACAGAAGGGGAGGTGAGCAAGGGAAGAGAGAGCGAGAAAGAAGATGATTCCTTCCAGGCCCTGCCCTTGTGCAAACCACTTCCCCTCTCCGGGCCTCAGTTTCCTCATCTGTAGAATGAGAAAGGTGGTCCTTGCCAGTGCCCACCCGACAGGCTGATTTCTGTTTCCTTCTCGCTCTCCTTCAGTACATCCTTCTCTTCCAGTAAGATGGGCTCTTTCCCAATTTCTGGAGCCACTTCTCCCCACCTGCTTGTCCCCCCACCCCTTCCCTCCCCGGGGGCCCTGCTCATGCACTTTTCAATGTTTCCCCTCCTTTGCTCATTCCGTCACAAAACGTTGGCTTTTCTCCCCCTGCCTGGGTTTTATTGGGGAAGCAGCCAGACAGGACGGTCCACGCGGCTGCTACTTTGGGGCCGACTCTTCTGAGGTTTCCCTCCTCCCTCCCGTGGCCTCCAGTGGCCACTCACACACGCAGGAGACAGGAAGTGAGCCTTTCAAAGTGTCTGCTCAGCACTGGCAGGAGAGCCCTCGGATTTCTCAGTGGCGGCAAGAAAGAGCCGTTAACCCCAGCCTGACGTGCAAAAGGGAATTTAGAATCTCTGAAAGGCCAGTGGACCCAGGTTGAGGCAATGGCCTCCTTTTTTAAAATAAAATCATGGCTGAGACTTCAGGGAAGAGTTAGGCACGCTTGTTGAGAGACAGAAGCCAGGTGGCACCTAGAACAGGGTCTGACACTCAGTGGATGAGGAATGAGAGATGCATGCGTCTGTTGCGAAGGACGGTTCCTCCTTTTAGAGCCGTTGTCAGAGAAATGGGCTTTTTTAGGAGACACTCCATCTGGAAAGACAGCAAAACAATGCTCTGCATATAAAGCACATTTCCCTTTGGATCTTTGTGCTGGAAGCTTCCTTCCTGCCTTCTTTCTCCCGGAGTGGCTCCTAAAAGGACGCTGACTGAACAGACCCGTCGTAAGGGCTTGTAAAGGAGAGGAAGCAGCCTAAGGTGGCCATTTCCCCCTTCACTGCCCACGACCTCATCTTCCTCCGCCTCCCTGGGAACCAGCCTGAGAAGCCGCTGCCAGTGCCCCACCCCCAAAGTCATACCCCACCACACAAGGGTTGGTTCTAAATGCATGCGATAGATTTATCTATTCTTATCACCTGTGTTAGCCGCACTCTCTCCCTGCATGCAACTCCTTCGGCATTTGTGTCCTGTGGCCCCCACCCAGCACTTAATAAACACTTTTATTACTTTAATCCTTTCAACGCGCATGCCCAGTCTCCCAACCGAACTGCAAGTTGCTCAAGTACAGGGACCACATCTCATTCACCTCTGTCATCCTGGTACCTATCAGTAAGTCTAATTCATAGTCAGCGCATTCTTTATTTTCTATGTTGGTTTATTACACAAATAAAACATGCTCATGGTAGGACTACACGTTTACTGGCAGAGCAAATCACCACACAACATAATGCACAGCCTCCGAAGCAATGAAAGAAACGCAAATATTTCAAAAGGGAAGATATTCTCATACGTGTATTATATTAAGACTAATCAAGAAAGGTGATAAAATGCTATGTGGGAATGATTACAGGAAAGGAGTGTGCTTAGACAGCACTGGAGGGGCGCTGTCATCCAGTTCAGGACTCTGGGTCACCACCCGGTGACATCTAACAGGAAGTATAAAGATCCTCATGGCCTTTAATCTGGGGTGTGAAAGTTGAACCTGGCATGGGGGCGTCCTGACGCGGCTCCTCTGTTCTATATTCTGGAATGACTGTCATTCCAGCCCTTCTCCTGCTGCCCTCTCTGTAACCTCCCTCTCTCCTGCCACCTCCCTGTGCCGTGTGTTTCCTTCTGCTCCTGCGTCTGGGCTCAACTGCATTGCCAAGAGCCAGTCCTCATCCTGCTCCAAAGGAGACTCTTCCCTGAGCTAGACTTTGACCATCTGTCCTCTCAGCATCCTCTCCAATGTCAGATAAGTCCTGATCTCATTTACATTCCTCCTACCAGGGTCTTTTTTTTTTTTAATTTCTGGCCGCGAGGCATGCAGGATCTTAGTTCCCTGACCAGGGATCGAACCCGCACCCACTGCAGTGGAAGCGCAGAGTCTTAACCACTGGACCACCAGGGAAGTCCTGTACCAGGTTTTTCATCGAGCCCTCCAGGGTGAAAACAGCCACGCTCTGTGAGTCATCACCCATGTCCAAGGCAAGGCGGCCGTCCTTTCCTCCTGGAAGTGACGTGTGCCCCAAAACCCAAGAGCAGAGAGTCAGGGGTTGCCCAGGGAGGCCCCACAGGCCGAGGTCAGCATCCGGGCTGTGGACTACGCCCCCTGCACAGTGGGATGGTTCCAGGGAAAGCAGCCAGGGACAGCCCGAAGGGTGTAGCCTTGGGAAGCAAGACTTGGGCTCAGTTTTTTCAATCAAAACTAATGTTTGGGGCTTCCCTGGTGGCGCAGTGGTTGGGAGTCCGCCTGCCGATGCAGGGGACGCGGGTTCGTGCCCTGGTCCGGGAAGATCCCACATGCCGCGGAGCGGCTGGGCCCGTGAGCCATGGCCGCTGAGCCTGTGTGTCTGGAGCCTGTGCTCTGCGACGGGAGAGGCCACAGCAGTGAGAGGCCCGCGTACCGCAAAAAAAAAACTAATGTTTGCAGTTTATCTTTCTGATAATGAAATTGTACATGTTTATTATAGTAAAATTGGAAAGCAGATGTAATCAATAAATAAACAAACGGACAAACACCTATCATCACCCCTTGATTACCTCTGTTATCACCTCAGCACGGAGCCTTCCAGGATTTCTTCTATGTATATACATGTCAGGCGTGCGTGTCATACAATTCTACTAATCTGTACGTTTAAAAATGGTTAAGGGCTTCCCTGGTGGAAGAGTGGTTAAGAATCTGCCTGCCAGTGCAGGGGACCTGGGATGAAGCCCTGGGCTGGGAAGGTCCCACATGCCGTGGAGCAACTAAGCCCGTGCGCCACAGCTACTGAGCCTGTACTCTAGAGCCCGCGAGCCACAACTACTGAGCCTGCGAGCCACAACTACTGAAGCCCACGCACCTAGAGCCTGTGCTCCACAACAAGAGAAGCCACCGCAATGAGAAGCCCGCGCACCACAACAAAGAGTAGCCCCTGCTCACCGCAACTAGAGAAAGCCCACACACAGCAACAAAGACCCAACACAGCCAAAAATAAATCAATTTATTTTAAAAAAAAAAAAAAAAAAGGTTAAGATGGTGAAGTTTATGGTATGTGGGTTTTGGGGGTTCTTTTTGGTTTGTGTGTGTGTGTGTGTGTGTGTGTTTTAACCACAACTTAACAAATAAGAAAGAGATGCACAGCGTTTTCCCAAATAGGCACAGTGGAAGGCAGCTGCTGTAAGCCTGAAAGGGTCCCTGCCCAGAGGGCTGCCTGAAGTCGAGAAATCCAAGCAGACATAGGCAGGAGCTGTCCTGCTGCCAGAAACAGGACCGACTGGAGTTGTAGGAGGTCATCTGGAGAGGGACCACCCACTCGAAGGGACAGACACACAAACTCCCCAGCAGAGGGGTCACTTCCGAGCCGTATCAGGGGGACAGGGCCTGGCCATTTCTGCCCCATGTGCTGCTCCTCTAATGCGCCATCTTTGGTCCAGCGCTCCCCACTGGGCTGGCCAGTGCTCCGTCAGATCTCCATCACAGTCTGAGGTTCCCCGTCCACTCCTGCAACCTCCATCATCTTTTATAGCCATCGCCCCACGATAAACCTCTTGTACTCATAACTCAGTGTCTGTTCCCCAGAGGATCCAAACTGTAGCGGTAATGGAGAGTTTCAGGACTAGTTTCCCTAAATCACGTAAATGCGGCAGGTTGAGCCAGCATCTCTCTTTAGAATGTGTGAGCACATTTGACCCTTTTCCCTCAGCTTTGCAACACCAACACTTAACATCCTGTTCCACATATTTATTTATCCTATTACATATTGTATAAGTCAACTTTCACTAGACAATACTGTGGTAACCTAAAATCTCTGTAGCTTACAGCAACAAAGGTTTATTTCTAACTCACTTTGTATGTTACTGGTCTCCTCTAGATGTCTTCTCATCACAGAATCCAGGCTGAAAGAACAGCCTCTATCCTGGACATGCCTTCCTAATAGCAAAGGGAAGAGAACAAAAACGCTGGTAGAAACATGCTGGTAGAAACATTCAAGTTTCTCCCACTCACATTCTATAGGCCAAAGCAAGTCACATGGCCAAACCTGACAATGAGGCAGGGAAGCATACTCCTCCTACAGCCCCACAGCAACAGGCAAAAATATCTAACACTCCTATAGGGGAGCAAATATTTGGAAATATACAGAAATGCCAGGGCTAAGGTTTCTGAGAGTTTCTTGTCCTTTCCCACATTGTGCCAAGATGACTGCTGTAGCTCCAGGCATCACAGCCCTATTCCACACAGGAAGGAGAAGGAAGGGGCAAAGATAAACAGAAAGAACAGCTAGCTGAGTCTGTCTCTTCTAATAATTTTCTTGGCAGTCTCTCCCATGACTTCCATTGACATGGGATGTATTATTAAGCTGCCACTCTCAACAATGCAGGGGTTCTGTTAGTAAGGAAGCACAATAATATGAATATTAGGTGGTCAACTAGTAGTTTCTGCCACTCCCACATAAGAGAGATTATCTATACATTTTTGGAAGATGCAAGACCAATGAAGCAAGTTGACCGACAAAGCCTGAAGAGAAAACACAGTCTAGAATTTTCTGTAGTTGTTGCAGAGATGCTGGCAGCTGATCTATCTAACAGAACCCTGGCATGTTTCTGGGCTTGGAGTCAGCAGCTGGGTTAGAGGGCAGAAGCAGGACGTGGGCTGGAAAGAGAGAGATTATGTGAATGCCTCATATGGACAACTAGCTTTTAGACACCGTCTTCCCCACCGCTGCCCAGAGAGCCAGCATTTACTGGCAGACAGAACAGAACAAAACCCAAAGATACTGAACAAAATATTCAAGGAGAGCTCACCCCAAAATTCAGCCTCTTTGGGCCCTTATTTGGAGGCCCCTGCAGCCCGACATCCCTCTTTTTGCCCACCTTACCCAGAGCTCTGAGTCTGAAGTCCTAATTGGTGGAGACACTTTGCCTGAAAATAGACAACGGCCGAGGAAGCTCACATCAGGCACTCACTTTTCCTGTCATATGCAGGCAGACCACTGGGGCTCTCCAGGCAAATGAGGGGCTCCACTTCAGGGCCAGGCACAGCTGCAGCTGGTGATACCATACTGAGAGCCAGGCATTAAGTGAAAAGTCCTGCAGGCTGACCCATGAGACCTCCCAGCCTGCCTGTACCCATGCAACAATAACAGGTTGCTATAAAAATGGAACATTCAGAGAACCACAAAAGAGTGATTATAAATTTTAAAAGTCTGCCTACCACAAATATGAATATTAATACTGGGAAGGGGATGGTGGACTGGGACATTGCAAAGTAAATCTTCATATTGAAATGTTAAAAGTTAATGTCAAGGCCTTCTAAATAGGTCAGTACAGGTGATAACACATATATAGTCTTGAGTTATCAGCGTAACCAGAAGCAGAGGTGAATAAAGAAACGGTTTTTTTAAAAAAAAGAAAGAAAGGGAGGGAGGGAGAAAGGGAGAAAGAACCTTGTCTCTGAGCTGTGAATCCATGGCGGGGAAGGAAAGGTGGGAGACCATGACTTTCCACTATAACCTGCTCTGTATTATTTGCTCTGTCGTCACGCACATGCACTACTGTAACAAAAATAAATGGATGTGACCAAGAGGGGTGGGATAGGGAGGGAGGGAGGGAGACGCAAGGGGGAGGGGATATGGGGATACATGTATACGTATAGCTGATTCACTTTGTTACACAGCAGAAACCGACACAACATTGCAAAGCAATTACATTCCAATAAAGATGTTAAAATAAATAAATGGAAAAAATCAAATAGGAGAATTGTGTCTCGAGTAATGAGGTTTGGAAATTCAGTCACAACATAGGCATCAAACACCTGCTTATTACGACTCAGCAGTGTTTGTCAGTTACTAGGAGACAGGAGCTACCTGGTCAGAAAGTGTCCAGAAGATGCTATAAGATGGGACCACTTCAAGTAATTGTAACAATAAGAGCAAACACTTATTGATGCTTACTGGATGCCAGGACTCTGCTGAGAGTTTTACTTGCCTATTTCTTTTAATTCTCATAACAATTCTAAGGTCTAGGTGTTTTTTTTATCATCATCCCCATTTTACAGATGAGAAAACTAAGGCAGAGAAGTAAAGAAACATGCCCTGGTGCCCAGGGTAGTAAGTGGTGACAGAATTTGAATAGCCTGCTAGCAAGGGTACAACCTTAACCACTGTGCTCTGTTGCCTGTAAGCTAGTGCCCCAAATACTGTCTGAAAAAATACTGGGCCTTACAATACTGGCAGATGAGCCCTACATTCTATCATTACAGTTAAATTCACATAATGGGCACTGACTTTTTTTTTGCCTCATTGCTTTCGCATGGCTGTTATAAGAAATGTATGTTAAAAGGCCTTGGAGACTGTAAACCATTCATTGCAAAACGAAAGATGTTAAAATGCTATTTTCTTTAGCTCACTGTCAGGGTTGGGACTCTTCATTGGATCCCTTGTAAGCCCCACATAAAGCCCCAGCCCACCGAGCACACAGGTCCTCCCCACTCACGCTGTTGTATCTCCCACTCAGTCTCCTTCTCATCCCCAGAACTCCTCTTCATTCCTCCCTCCTCCCCACCCAACGTAAGCTCTCAAACCTCAGCATTTTCTGCCACGTTCCTTGTATGTATCACTTAAACCATCACCTCAATTTTATCATTTAACTCGAGAGGCCCCAACCAAGAGAGGCAAACGTCTGGGAACTTGCGCTTCCCCCAAATGGGAGAGCCTTGTAGCAGATTATGTCTCCCAAAGAATGCAAACCCGGGCTAGAGCAACAGGCCCCAGTGAGACCATCCAGCATCAGGCCAGTTTCACCCACTCGCCTGAGGAACTCTCTTCCATTACCAGAGAGCAATGCTCAGCACAAATCATGGCCCTTCCTGGACTCTTGGCAACGGTCGAAACCTTGATGCATCCCCACTCCCCAAAGGTAGCTATTAAGTGGTTTAGTGTGTCTCTTTCAAGATCTTCTTGTACAAATACACATATATGTACGTGTATATATATTATACTACACATAGAGATTTCCCCTAATAGCACTGAATGTATGGATTAATTTTAAGAAAATTTACATCTTGCAGTATTTTAAATCTTCCCATTTACATACAAACTCATACAAACTCTCAACTTGTACGATCAAGTCAAACATGAAACTCCCAAGAAAGAAAGACAGAATTAGAATAAGGCATTATATCTGCAACAACCGTGTCTTCGATGGTTTTGATAAGGAATTCTCGCCTGCCTTTTAAAATATTGTTATGAAATATTTCAAACACAAAAATCAGTTAAAATAATAACAACCTACAGAACGGGAGAAAATATTTGCAAATCATACATCTGATAAAGGGTTAACGTCCAGAATTTATAAGGAACTCGTACAACTCAACCACAACAACAAAAAAAGTAACACATTTAAAAAGGGGACAAAGGACTTGAAGAGACAGTTCTCCCAAGAAGATATACAAATGGCCAAAACGCATCTGAAAAGATGCTCAACATCATTAATTATCAGAGAAATGCAAATAAAAATCACAGTGAGGTATCACCTCACACCCATTAGGATGGTCACTATCAAAAGAACAAAAGATAACAAGCGTTTGCCGAGATGTAAAGAAATTGGAACCCCTGAGCATTGTTGGTGGGAATGTAAAATGGCACAGCCATTATGGAAAGCAGTAAGGAGCTTCCACAAAAAATTAAAAATAAAATTACTGTACACCCAGCAATCCCACTCCTGGGTATATATCCAAAAGAATTCAAAGCAGGATCTCAAAGAGATATTTACACACGCATCGCAAATTATTCATTGCAGCATTACTCACAACGACCAAGAGGTGGAAGTAACCCAAATACCCATTGACAGACGAATGGATAGAGAAAATGTGGTCTAGACAGATATATATTCACATGTACATACATATATACATATTATATACATATAATGCAGCCTTAAAAAAGAAGGAAATTCTGACATATGCTACAACATGGATGAATCTTGAGGACATTATGCTAAGTGAAAGAAGACAGTCACAGAAGGACAAATACTGTTATGATTCCACTCATATGAAGAGTCGGAAGCAAATTCATATAAACAGAAAGCAGAGTGGTGGTTGCCAGGGGCTGGGAGGACGGGGAATAAAGAGTTGTTGTTTGATGTCTATAGAGTTTCTGTTTTGCAAGATGAAAAAGTTCTGGAGCTCTTCACACAACAATGAGAATATACTTAACACTACTGAACTGTATACTTAGAAATGGTTCAGATGGTAAATTTTTTATGTGGTTTTTTCCCACAGTAAAAAAAAAAAATAACAAAAATCTGCGTACCCACCCTGGAACACTATCAAATCCTAAGATTTCACTATACCTCCTTCAGTTTTTTTCCAGGAACAAAAGGTGGCAGACAATGGGAGAGCCTTCTGTCTCCATGACCCTACTCTCCTGTTTCCCTCTTCAGAGGTATCTGCTTCCCTGAATTTGGTTTTTATCATTCCTATGCATGTTTCACATTATGACCGCATGTACATGTATCCATAAATAATACATAGCATTGCTTTGTCTATTGACTACTTTTATAGAAATGGTAATGTACTGTACCTATCCTTTGTGCAACATCACATTAGAAAATGTATACACACTGGTAAGTAAAGACCCAATTCATTATTAGAACTGCTATATAGTATTGCAATGTTTAAATATACCATGTTTATTTATCCACCATCCTTTTGATGAAGTTGAGTCATTTCAAATGCTTCACTATTATGACAACTCAACAACAACAAAAAACAAACAACCCAACTGAAAAATGGACACAGGGTCTTCTGAATAGACATTTTTCCAAAGCAGGCATATAGATGGCCAACAGGCACATGAAAAGATGTCCAACAACGCTAATTATCAGGAAAATGTAAATCAAAACCACAGTGAGATATCACCTCACACCTGTTAGAATGACTGTTATCAAAAAGACAAGGAATAACAAATGCTGGAGAGGGTGTGGAGAAAAGGGAATCCTCGTGCACTGTTGGTGGGAATGTAAATTGGTGCAGCCACTGTGGAAAACACTATGGAGATTTCTCAAAAAATTAAAAATAGAACTACCATGTGATCCAGATATTCCACTTCTGAGTATTTATTCAAAGAACACGAAAACACTGATTTGAAAAGATACATGCACCCCTATGTTCATTACTGCATTATTCACAATAGCCAAGTTATAGAAACAACCTAAGTGTCCAGATGGACGAATGGATAAAGAAGATTGAGATATATATATATATATATATATATATATATATATATATATACGTGTGTACACACACACACACGTACACACACATATACAATACAGTGGAATACTACTCGGCCAAAAAAAGAAATACTGCCATTTGTGATAATACAGATGGACCTTGATGGCATAACACTAAGTGAAATAAGTCAGATGGAGAAGATAAATACCTTATAATTTCTCATATGTGGATTCCACTCATATGTAGAATCTAAAAAAAAATGAACAAATGAAATAAAATAAAAATAAACTCATAGATAGAGAACAGATTTGGGGTTACTGGGGGGGAAAGGAGTTAGGGGATGGGAAAATGGTTGAAGGGGACCAAGTGCATGGTGATGGATGGTAACTAGACTTGTCCTGTTATCACTCTGAAGTGTATATAGATGTTGAACTGTAATGCTGTACACCTAGGACTTATAAAAATATTTAAATAAAAATAAAAAAATATTTCACTACTGTGCACAATACTGGATGACACCATCTCGTACATATCCTTGTCTATGTATATCTCAAGGCGAAACCCGTGCATTGGAGGGAATGAGTCTCTCCAGTGTCACCAGGATACTGACAGATCGTTCTCCAGGGCATGTGTCCTGATTTCCATCCACAGCAGATGAAAGTGAGGGCCAAATGCTCCAAACAGCACCAACTGAGTTTGTCAGGCTTCCTCAATTCTGCCAATCTGCTGGGTGTGAAATAACATCTCATTATGATTCTATGTTTCCCAGATTATTAGACGAGGGTAGTGTCTTCTCATGAGTTTATTGACAATATGGATTTCCTCTCCATTAATGTTTTGCCTGATTTTCTGTTTTGTTGTTTGTCTTCCGCTAATTGGTAGGCATTCTTTATAAATTCTGCATACTAAGGCTTTGCTGCTTACGTGCATTGCAAATTCCTCACTCAGTCTATGATTTTGTCTTTTAAATTTATTTTTTGCTTATTCGTTTAACAAAAGTTTTACTACATTTTAAATATAATCAAATACATCAACCCTTTATTTCACGTTTACACTTATTATGGTGTGTTTATGAAATCATTTCTTACCCCGAAGACATTGTTCTGTCTTCTTTGGGGAACAGAGTAATGATTCAGTAAATATGTGCTGAATAAATGAATTATTTCTAGTTTGTTGGTCTCCAGAACATTGCACAAATCCAATTTTTATTTTGTATAAGCCCCATGCTCATACAAGCAATTTTTTATTGCAAAATTGGACTTAAATATAAAAGGGGGTGCTATCATTTATCCTAATTAGGCCAAGGTGAAGCATGCCTTTGGTAACACACCAGCGAGAATAACTATTATTCTTCACAAAAGATTCAGTTGAGAAACAGGATTTTTAAATATAGCAATATTTAGATTAGAAAGCAGAAAGTAAGCCTTGTTAGTGAGGGCTACAGCAGTAGAACAGAGCACCTAGAACAGCCTACAGCATCAAAAATTTTATTGAGCATCTGTTATGTAAGGAGAGTTGTAGAACTTCTTTCTTCAAAAACTCAATCATGGGGCTTCCCTGGTGGCACAGTGGTTAAGAATCCGCCTGCCAATGCAGGGGACACGGGTTCCAGCCCTGGCCCAGGAAGATCCCACGTGCCGCGGAGCAACTAAGCCTGTGCACCACAACTACTGAGCCTGTGCTCTAGAGCTCGCGAGCCACAGCTACTGAGCCCGCAAGCTGCAACTCCTGAAGCCCACGTGCCTAGAGCCCCTGTTCCGCAACGAGAGAAGCCACCGCAATGAGAAGCCCGCGCACCGCAACGAAGAGTAGCCCCCGCTCGCCGCAACTAGAGAAAGCCCGCGCACAGCAACGAAGACCCAACGCAGCCAAAAATAAAAAATATAAATAAATAAATAAATAAATTTTTTAAAAATTTAAAAAGTCACCTAAAATCTCAGATACCAGTTCTTTTTTTTAAAATTTATTTATTTAATTTACTTATTTTTGGCTGTGTTAGGTTCCCGCTGCTGTGCGCGGGCCCTCTCAAGTTGAGGCGAGCAGGGGCTACTCTTCATTGTGGTGTGCGGGCCTCTCATTGCGGGGGCCTCTCTCGTTGCGGAGCACAGGCTCCAGGCACGTGGGCTTCAGCAGTTGTGGCTCACGTGCCCAGCAGCTGTGGCTCGCGGACTCTAGAGCGCAGGCTCAGTAGTTGTGGCCCACGGGCTTAGTTTCTCCGCAGCATATGGGATTTTCCCAGACCAGGGCTTGAACCCGTGTCCCCTGCACTGGCAGGCAGACTCTTAACCACTGCGCCACCAGGGAAGCCCAGATACCAGTTCTTAAATGAAAGCACATTTATTACTTAAGAGTCGCACATTGTAAAATTCCGCTTAGGAGTGGTCTCCGTGTCCCTCAGACACCTTTTCTCAGGCGGGTAAAAGAGTTGGAGAAGGGAGAGCAGCGTGACGGGTACACCATGCTTGACAGGGACCCATGTGTGCAGGCACGGGACTGCCCTGAGTTACCACCTCACAAACTGGCACTCCTCTGCCCCCAGACAGAGAAGATCGGCGGAGCCTAACCACCTACCACCCTCTACCTGCAATTTAGGGAAACTGCCTCTGCTGCCTTTCATTGCTGGCCCCTTACAAGGACAGCTTGCCGCAGACGCTTGAGAAACTCGTGGAAAGGGGGAAGCAAGAAAATTATAATCCCTACTCAGAGGTAACCATACGCACTACTCATGTGTACACACACACATGATTCGTGCTCATATGCAATGTGAGAGGCCGTGTGGGTCAAGGTTACAAGCGTAGCTGCTGGAGCCTGACTCGAGGTGTGGAGACCGGCCGCACACTCACAAGCTCTGCAACCTGAACAGATGCTCCGTCTCTGCTCCCATTCCCCCACCCGCCAAATTAGAATAAGAGTAATATTGACGGTATCTGCCCCACAGGCTTGTTATGGGCTTAAATGAGACGTTATGTATAAAGTGTGTAATAACATGGGACACACAGAAAGAAGATGCAGCTGAGAGTTATCGTGATGACACAGTTCTCCATCTGACCTTTTAACTTAACATCTCATCATAACCCTGCTGTCAAATATTCTTTGAAAATACTATTTTTAGAATTATAGTGTTCTGTAGCCTACCTTTTTTTACTTAACACTTTACCCTGACTATATGTTTTAAAATATTATTCTTGATGTCTATATTTTAATACTCTATTTTCTAAATATACCACAATTTATCATTTTCCCCTGTTGCTGGATATTTAAGTTGTTTCCTATTTATCACTATTATAAATAATACTGTGATGATATACTTAAAACTTGGGCCACATCCCTGGTCCCTCTCTTAGGATAGATTTCTAACATCGAATTTCTAGAATGAACATCATTTAATGTTCATGTTACCAAACTGCTATCCAGAAATAATAGGCCAGGTTTACCCTCATCAGTCCTGTGTGACAATGGCCTGTAACTATGCCACTGATAGAATTTTAGTAGTATCTCTTTTTCTTCTTTGCTATTTGAGAAGAGGAAACTTTTTACTTCATTTCATTTTGATTTCGATAACTCGTGAGGTTAAACTTTTATGATTATATTGGTCGAGGGTATTTCTTCTTTTGGGAATCTTCTGTTCATGTCCCCATTTTTGTTTGTCTGAATTTTTTAGTTGAGTTGTAAAGAGGTATTTTTCCATATTAATTGATAGATGCACTTTACATATTAGGAATTTAATTTTTCCATCACACTTTATTTTTTCCCAGTTTCCTTTATGGTTTATGTTTTACTTTACTCATCTATTCAGCATGGAGTTACTGAGTGCCTGCTATGTGCTGAGCACTGTGGTAGGTGCTGGGAATTCAGCGGGGAACAAAGCTGACTAAAATCTCTGTCCCTGGAGGGCCTACATTTTAGTGGGAGCTTCTAGTTGAGGGTGTCATTTCAGTGGACACAATCATCTAGTTCCTGGAATGACCTATAATTGAGAAGGACCTATAATTACTTAAACATAATTGGTCCATTAATGCCATGTTCCTTTCAGAAAAGCACTGTACCCACATGAATACGGAGCAAGAGAGACCCCAGAGCTCAGCCTAACAGAGAAAAGTTGATAATATTTTCAAACAAGTATGACTAAAAAGACACCCTTAGACTTTCAGCTGGGACTCAAGCACACTCAGTGTTTATTTCTTTTTCTCCCTTCCACACAGGTGCCTCTTAAAATTTTACAGCCTGACTTTTCCGGTGGCGCAGTGATTAAGAATCCGCCTGCCAATGCAGGGGACAGAGGTTCGGGCCCTGGTCCGGGAAGATCCCACATGCCACGGAGCAACTGAGCCCGCGTGCCACAAATACTGAAGCCCGCCTGCTTAGAGCCCGTGCTCTGCAACCAGAGAAACCACCACAATGAGAAGCCCACGCACTGCAAAGAAGAGTAGCCCCCACTCGCTGCAACTAGAGAAAACCCGTGAGCAGTAACGAAGACCCAATGCAGCCAAAAATAAATAATAAATAAGTTTATAAAAAAAAAATTTTTTTTGCAACCACTTGTATACCTCACCATCTGGGGCTCGAGAAATGGGGGTGTCCAGGTGGGGTTGATGAGAAGAGGGAAGTTTGGGGTCTTAGCTCAGGCTACTATACCAAAGTACCATAAACTGGGTGACTCATAGAGAACAGAAATTTATTTCTCACAGTTCTGGAGGCTGGAAGTCCTACATCAGGGTGCCAGCAGGGTCAGGCTTCGGTGAGAGCCTCTTCCGTGTTGCAGACTGCTGACCTCGTGTTCTGTCCTAATGTGGAGGAAAAAGATGGAGCTAGCTCTCCAGCCTCTTCTTAAAAGGGCACTAATCCCATGCCCAAATACCTCCCAAAGGCCCCACCTCCAAACACCATCACATTGGCGAACAGATTTCAGCATGTGAATTTTGAGGGGATACGAACATTCAGTCCATAACAGGTCCCATAAGTAGAGAAGACTGCGCCAGGAGTGACTTTATGGAATGACAGATGCAACAGCCAATTTCACAAGATATTCCTTTCCCTCAGTGGGGAAAGGAATGGGACCTGCAATAGGAGCAAAACTACCTCTTCAGCAAACTGTGTGCACATGTGACTCAAGGACCGGATGAGTGGCCACCCTCCAAAGCTTCAGCACTTGGAAACAACTCCAGGGAAGGGGACAGAGGGAATCCTGAATTGACAGAGATTGCGTTTGGCGCAGCAGCAGAACAGGAAATCAAAACAGAAGTTGAATGGAGTGATAGAAAGATAAGGTTCTATTTCTTATACATCTGAAAGATATCACTGTGTTTTTAAGAGGAATCACAAGAAGAAAGAGAAAGAGAGAAAGAGGTCATCATTTAAACACTTAAATTAGAATTTCCCACAATCCTGGGAATTCCCTGGCAGTCTAGCGGTTAGGACTCTGCCCTTCCACTGCAGGGGGGACGGGTTCGATCCCTGATGGGGGAACTAAGATCCTGCAGTCCACATGGCCAAAAAAAAAAAAAAGAATTTCCCACAGTCCTTAAGAAGAAACTGAAAATGCAATTGAAAAATTCCATTAAATTAGTATAAGTTTAAGCTAACTTTTTTTTTTTTTTGCGGTACGCGGGCCTCTCACTGCTGTGGCCTCTCCCGTTGCGGAGCACAGGCTCCGGACGCGCAGGCTCAGTGGCCATGGCTCACGGGCCCAGCCGCTCCGCGGCATGTGGGATCCTCCCGGACCGGGGCACGAACCCGTGTCCCTTGCCTCAGCAGGCGGACTCTCAACCACTGCGCCACCAGGGAAGCCCTAAGCTAACTTTTAAAGGTGCAGTTTGGAAAACCTTATCTGTTCCAGGAATTCCAAAGTGGAGGTCATCAATTCCTTCTTCACCTGTTCGCCACTCATAAGCACCACATGCATAAATAACTCCACAGAACCAGATTAAACATAACTGACTCCAAAAGTTGCCCAGCACAGACGGGCAAGAACCTCCTGACAACAGGATCTCTAGATAGTCCTACTCAGAAGATTCCTCCTTCATCCCCTCTCCTTGAACGGCACAGGCTCAACTCTGCAGCTCCACTTAGCTCTTTCCCTTCTCCCCTTTATGAGAAGCTGGCCTCCATCACTCAGCTTTCTCCTCAGTGAAGCAGAGCTGGCTCTTGCTAGGAGGAAGCAAGTAGAAGGGTCGGAGAACCCAGATCCAAAAGAAATTTAAAAAAATATGCTCAACATCAGTAATCACTAGGGAAATGCAAATCAAAACCATAATGAGGTTAACACTTCACACGCATCAGGATGGCTATTACAGACAAGAAGGAAGGAAGGAAGGAAGGAAGGAAGGAAGGAAGGAAGGAAGGAAGGAAGGGAGGGAGGGAGGGAGGGAGGGAGAGAGGGAGGGAGGGAGGGAGGGAGGGAGGGGGAGGGAGGGAGGGGGAAGGAAGGAAAGAAGAGAGAAAGAGAAGGGAGGGAGGGAGGGCAGAAGTAAAGAAGGAAGAAGGGAAGAGGGAAAGAAAATAGCAAGTGTTGGCAGGATGTGGAGAAATAGAAACCTTTGCGCACTGTTGGTGGGAATGTGAAACGGTGCAGCTGCTGTGGAAAGTGGTACGAAAAATTAAAAACAGAATTACCATATGATTCATCAGTTGTATTTCTGGATATGTACCCAAAAGAACTGAGAGTAAGGTCTCAAAGAGATATTTACACATCCATATTCACTGCAGCATTATTCACAATAACTAAAATGTGGAAGCCACCGAAGTGTCCATCAACTGATAAGGGGGTAAAGAAAATGTGGTGCATACACACAATGGAATATGATTCAGCCTTAAAAAGGGATGCAATTCTGACACATGCAACAATGTGGACGAACTTTGAAGACATGCTAAGTGAAACAAGATAGGACAACTACTGTACAATTTCACTACATGAGGTCCTGAGAGTCATCAAGCTCATAGAGAAAGAAAGTAGAACGGTGGTTGCCAGGTCGGGGGGATGGGGTGGATGTGGAAAGGAGGAAGCAATGTTTAACGGATGCAGCGTTTCAGGCTGGGATGATGGAAACGTTCTGGAGATGGATGGTGGTGATGGCTGCAGAGCAGCGTGGATGTACTTAATGCCACTGAACTGTGCGCTTAAAAAAAAAAAAAAAGGTTAAAATGATGAGAAAAGAACCAGGAGGAAGGGGACAGGAAGGGGTGCGGGAAGGAGAAGAAGGTGGAGGAGGGTCCCTCACAGTTAAATTGAAGGGAAACAGGGAACACACAGGACTGGATTTAGCACGTGGAGAGCTGGGGTGAATTTCCTATTCTGTGGGCGGAGAAGACAAGGGGAGCGATCCCAAAGAAGCTCAAGAGATCTGGCTTCGCAAAAGTAAACTGAAAGCCAGGAAGTTCTAAGGGTGTGGCACTAATGCTAAGGCCCCCACTCCCCGCCGTTGCAGAGACGGGTCATTCCAGATCTCAAAGGCCTCAGTGCAGAAGTCAGGGAACGCGGAGGGGGGGACCCTGCAGAGGCCATTTCAAACTTAAAGGCATATCTTAACTGCCATAGGGCTCTTCTGATGTCCCAAACCAGGCATTCTCAACGCTGGCCCTATCCTCGCCAAGGGGAAAATTGTCTCTCTGAGGTGAAAAAATCTTATTCTTTCTATGCACCTATCACAGAAGTGCACAGGGCAAATTCACACATACGCGGTGTATCTATGGTACCAAAATTTTATGGGGGTTGGTGATTAGGGGAGGAAATATCCAAAGGAGAGGGAGAGGGGCAATAACACAACCACGCAAAGGCTGAGACCACTGCCCTAAAGCTCGGGGGGCTCCGGGATGTGGCTCCATCCTCCAGGCCCGCACAGCCCTCTGGGCTTCTCGCACAGCTCGAGCGCGTGCGGTCCGGCAGGACAGCACGCGCGACCTCACCCCTTCCAGCTTCCGCGGCCGGGCACCCAGTCGGCCGGGTAGTCGTCACGCTCACTGTCACTGCGCGCGGCCGCCCGGGACAACCGCTCCAGCGCGCACAGGGAAGGGGACGGTCCCCTACGGGCCCCCGGAGCCGGGGGCGGGGCCGGCTCTCACGTCGGGGGCGGGGCCCGCGCGACGCGCGCCGGCCCCGAGGAGCCCCGCGGCTCCACCCGAGCTTCCGCCCGCAGCCCGGCTCCTCCCGCCGCCTCCTCGGCGCGCTCCTCCGAGGTGCCAGCGCGGCTACGCCCAGGGCGGCGAGAGAGCCGTCGCGGCCGCGGAAATCTGTACACACCGCAGCGCGGCCCCAGCAACCGGGTCTCTGTGGCGCAATCGGTTAGCGCGTTCGGCTGTTAACCGAAAGGTTGGTGGTTCGAGCCCACCCAGGGACGGGGAAGCTTGTTTTCCTGTACGGGGATTCATTTTAAAACTACAGCTCCGAGATTTTTAATCAAATAGGAGTACGACACTGATACGTTTCTAGGATAGAGGAAGACAACGTCCTCCTAATAGTATTCGGTGCCCAACGCAGTGAATCCAGGAGCGACACTGCTGCAGAACTGGGAGCCGGTGGATTGCTAATTCTAGTCCTACCGAATATCCGGGGGAACTGTGCATATATGCTTCAGGAGACCTGCCCAACCTTGTTCATCAACAGCAGACATTGTAATGGCAAAAACAAACAAACAAAAAACACTCAATTGCCCATTGACAGGTGAATGAATAAATACCATTGGTTTCTCTCAGAAAATCTGATACCACCAAAAAGCAAATGTAGTTATTCAATTTTGCCATATCTGCGGCCAAAAGCATTTGAGAAGCAAATGCAGGTGCGAACATGCAAGAGGAGACATCTCAGAGTCAAAAGTATGTGGAGGCACCGTTATACCAAGAAACTATTTGCTGAATTAAGCTGTGTTACAGCTTTGGGATCAAGGACTTGAATCTACGCAAAGCCTTAACGTTTTCTTTAGATTGCTGGCAGATTTTTTTCTGAAATTAAACTCAAGCAGAAATTGTTTGTATGGGTTCCTGTTAAAACGTCTCAAATGACGTATTTTCAACTCGGCTCACAGAAGACACAAATATTTTTCAAGCATATGACTTTCTTTTTTTTCTGATTTTATTGAGAAATAATTGAAATGTATATCACTGTATACATACGAGTTTCTATAAAGATAGAGAACCACATGATAATATGATAGCATAAATATGTAATTCATTTCTGCCAAGATTGAGGTCATGTGGTAGGTGCTTTTTCTCTAGGTTGTTCTTATCAGGGATAGAATTTTGAGACCTAGAAGAAGGAATAGTTGACTGTCTCACTAGGGTGTCTCCTAGGGAATGCCTTGGCAAATGCTGGCTGACAATTATTTATCAAATTATGGTTGATAACAAAATATCCTCTACTGTCTCGTTAGGACCCCTCAGGAAGGAGACACAATATTGCACTTATGGTGGAATTCCAGGCAGAATGACAGGTAGCCACCCCCAAAAAGTGTTCTTAGGTAGGGGCCTTTCTGATGCTTCTCAAAATTCCAAACTTGCCACCTACACTTAAGGATAGCTTACAGTGACAGAAAGAACTATATTCAATATCCTATGATAAACCATAATGGAAAAGAATATTTTAAAAAAGTATAAAAATAAGAATGTATATATATATGTATGTATAACTGAATCACTTTGCTGTACAGCAGTAATTAAGACAACATTGTAAATCAACTATACTTCAATTAAAAAAAAGGATAGCTTACAGTGGAAGTAAGAAACGGGGAGGGGGTGGCAGTGGAATTCTGTCATAAGATCATTTATACACTGTTGAAATTGAGTCTCACATTTCAAGATGAAGAAGGTGTAATATTTGCTATTACTGAAGTGATGGGGACTTAGCATGTCCTTCCACCTTGAAGCTGAGTATATTTACACTAGGTTATAAGCTCCTTGAGGGAAGAGACCATTTTCTGTTATTAATGATCAATTTAGGGTCCAAAGGATTTCTTTCAGGACACAGTTCAAATTCTTGAGCTTAGTGCACAAGGGCTTTCATGATCCACAGCTGTGTCTCCTGCCCAGTTTCCACTTGAGACCTTTTAGAGGTTATAAGCACTTACCAGGAGTTCCTTGAATGGCCCAGGCTGACTTACACCCCCTTCCCGGCCAGACACCTGTCCCTACACCCCGATGTGCCCCTCCCCCTCCCCCATTCTGCTTACCTGGGTAACATCTGCTGAGAGTTACCCCCTCAGGAAGCCTCCCCTGACACTGCCTCCATCTGATTTAGAGGTCCATCCTCCACGCATGCATCACAGTACCCTGAAACCAGGGAGTTACTTGTCCCCTGCACAGGAATATAACCTCTTGAGAGTAGGAACCATGTCTCCGTTCATCTAGCACAGGCCTGTCCCATGACACATGCTCAGGACCAGAGCAATCCCTGCCTTCTCGGGGTATGTGGTTAACAGAGACTGACAGTCAGATAAAAATGCATATGATGAAGGGTCAGCATGAGAAATACAGAAAAATGGTCCCAGGCCTTGAAGGAGGAAGTCAACTTAGATGGGCTGGATGGTGTCTTCATGAGGATCTGAAATGACCCTGAAAGATCTGGACAGGCCAGAGGCAGAGGAGGGGTATCTAAGGCTGGGGAAATTTCAGGACAAGATGAGGGCATGATGGGGGTGATGGACAAAGTGTACTTAAATAGGGAGCAGTGAAAACGAACTTAGCTTGTGGAAGGGCCCTGAAGACCAAGAGAAGAGGCTGTCTGAGAACAGTATGGAGGTTCCTTAGAAAACTAAATACAGGGCTTCCCCGGTGGCACAGTGGTTGAGAATCTGCCTGCCGATGCAGGGGACACGGGTTCGAGCCCTGGTCTGGGAGGATCCCACATGCCGCGGAGCAGCTGGGGCCGCGAGCCACAACTACTGAGCCTGCGCGTCTGGAACCTGTGCTCCGCAACAAGAGAGGCCGCAATAGTGAGAGGCCCGCACACCGCGATGAAGAGTGGCCCCGCTTGCCGCAACTAGAGAAAGTCCTTGCACAGAAACGAAGACCCAACACAGCCATAAATAAATAAATTAATTAGTTAATTTTAAAAAAAGAGTTATCGTTTCAAAAAAAACTAAAAACAGAGCTACCATATGACCCTGCAATCCCACTCCTGGGCGTGTACCCAGGAAAAAAACATAGTCCAAAAGGATACATGCACTCCAATGTTCATTGCAGCATGTTTGCAATAGCCAAGACATGAAAGCAACCTAAGTGTCCATCGACAGAGGAATGAGTAAAGAAGATGTGGCCCATATATACAGTGGAATATTAGTCATAAAGAAGAATGAAATAATGCCATTTGCAGTAACGTGGATGGACCTAGAGATTGTCATACTGAGTGAAGTAAGAGGAAGAGAAATATCTTATAATATAGCTTATTTGCAGAATCTAAAAGAAATGATACAAATGAATGTATTTACAAAACAGAAATGAACTCACAGACTTCGAGAATGCGGTTGCCGGGGGGGAAGGTGGAGGGAAGGGATAGTTACGGAGTTTGGGATTGACATGTACACACTGCTATATTTAAAAAGGATAACCAACAAGGACCTACTGTATAGCACAGGGAGCTCTGCTCAATGTTATGTGGCAGCCTGGATGGGAGGGGAGTCTGGGGGAGAATGGATACATGTATGTGTATGGCTGAGTCGCTTTGCTGTGCACCTGAAACTATCACAGCATTGTTAATCGGCTATACTCCAGTATAAAATAAAAACTTAAAAAAAAAAGAGAGAGAGAGAAGAGGCTGCACTTTACCCTGTAGAGTAAGAGAGTCACTATTAAAGGTTTCTGTTTCAGGACAGAATGAAATCTATTTTAGGTGGTTGGGTTGGCAACAACGTCAATAAGAAATAAGAGATCAGAGGACAGTTTAGACGCAATTATATTTCAAAGGAGAGGCAGTGACGCTCTGGGCTAAGGTGGGTAAAGGAAAGAAGGCATGGATTGATTCAAGGGAAGCCTGGTCAAGATTTAGGGACTGAAACAGGAGGGAAGTTTGAGGGTGAAGCCCGCATTTAGAGCCTGGGAGACCCAGAAAATGGTGATACCATTTCTTGATGTGGGACTTTGGAGGGGTCTTAAAGAAACCTTGAAATTAGAAAACTTATACATTGTCCATACTCTTAGCTTTCCTAACTTGTGGCCTGTTCTCCACCGTGGAGTTTATCTAGAACCTAGTCTCAGAAACAATCTTCATTTTAAGTTAAACTTCATTTATTTAAGATAAACTTCCCAAGAGACTACTTAGGGGTCCACAGAGCCCTATGAAAATCTGAATGGGAAGCTAAGGACCCTCTCCCCAGAATGTACACATTCACAGAGAAAATCTTATTGACAATGTCCAAGAGTCACAGAGGCTCTGGAGCAGAGTTCTTGGCCCCCCGATTTTGAAGGCCCGGCTTTGTATTTTATTTATTGGATTTGTATTCTAATTACTGATAAAGGTCATAAAGCATGTCAAATCCAAAGTGTTTAGGTATGGAAAAATTACTAAACTGAAGATTTTAAGGTAACACAAAGAACTAGAAGAGTCTAATAGTATTGACAAGTCACAAAGAGAAGTCAGTAGCCAGGTTCTTTTCTTTCTTTCTTTTTTTTTCTGAGCAATTAATTACATATGTAAAATTAGTAATAAAGGACTTGAGACAAAAAAAACTACCTTGAGGTTTTAACATTTAATGCTTTATTGTTACAGTCTGGAGCGACTGGAGGTACTGGCTGTGAAGGGCTTTAATATAGTGATCCTTCCAGGATCCCTTCTATAGGGATTTACACCATCACCAGATACCAATTTGTATTTCTTTCTTGGGAGTTACTTTAATGACACCCAGCAAACTATCATATTTTAGTCACCCCCTCATAGGAATTGAGCCTTTTTTTCTTCTTTTTTTTAGTAAAAACAAACCAAAAATTATTGTCTGTCAAAGATGACTCAAACTAGTTATTCCTAAACAAGTAAATCAAATACACACTTTAAAATAAGGAGATCTTCAACTACCTTAGTAATAAACTGCAAAGTAGATCATAGATTATTATAT